CTTTTTTTTCACATTTTCTTTATCTTCCAGCCATTTCTTGACCTTGCTACAAAAGAACGACAGCAGTATGAGGTGGAACTCAAAGCGTATGAGAAGACGGACCATTACAGAGAATTCATGGGTATGTTTATAATCTAAACTTTAAGAAGCTTTTCCATTGTTTTCAAGTGTTCCTATAAGGTTGCATGTGACGCTTAAATCAAAATTTTTTTCATCTGACGCGATCGATTTCAATACAGCGACATGTTTTTCTAAGAATTTGACATCGACTTGAAATCGTGCTGATTTTTATTGCTATTTTTCTATTTCTTTTTCCTCATCAATATACATAGCTAATACTGAGAAACTTTTTTCTAAAGCATTCATTCATCAGTCCAACTTCAGTTACAAGATCCCTTTTTAATTCAATCTTTCCTGATTCTAGTGACTCTTCTAGAAAAGAAAGAGCGGATACTGAGACTACGAAAACAACGGCGAAAGTTGGGTGTTGACACAAAAGAGGAGTTTGATGAATCCTTGGAGCTAGAAGATTCGCTGCTGGAAGACTCGAAAAAGAGTGTTAAAACTACACCCAAGGAGAAGGTAACATTTTTTTCTGGAAATAAGAGTAGAACTTGCTGCTCCATTCGCTTTGTCATTTAGAGAGCCCCAGTTGAGACTGTAGCGGCAGTGGTACCAACAGTCCCGAACTCGAACATATCGATATTCAGTTCAGAATTTCTTGAGTATAACAAAAGTCTGTTGTTTCCTTTCTTTCTCGAATAGTTGTTCTTCATATTCATTTTCTAGACAGAGAATCTCAGCTACGATCAATCCGTCGAGAAATTGGCGTCGCTGAAGCTGAAAGGGAGGCTATGCAACGAACAATTGAGAAAATGCAGGCCAACAATGCTGTGCTTGAGTCGCAAGCTGCTCATGGTGGGTTCAAAAAATCATTACAAACAAGATTCTCAATCTTAATTGTTATTAATCTTAGACAAGAAGATGGCCAAGGAGGCTGATCGTATCATAGAATGCTGGATGCGAGTCTTACGAAGCGCTATGAGCGAAACAATGAGAGGTAATCGTTCTTGGCTTAGAATTCAATCCCATTATGCTTGATGCAAATTTCATAAACATTCTTTAATCAGATTTCGATTTTCGTCTATCTAAAAGTATCCGTTCCTCTAAAGGTAATCTATGAGGGAAATTTTCTTCATTTATCTTCGCGGCATTCTTTCAAAGCAAGTAAAGCAAATCTTTGCAGCTATT